GTTATATCCAAATATATATTTTTAATGTGTTCACATATTTTGAAAGTTTTCTTTTTTTATAATTTTTTTTTATTTTAGTTATCTAGTTTATTTACTTTTTTATAATTTTATAGACAATTATTACGGCTTAACAAATTGTGAAAAATACTGAAACTTAAGTGCAGCAATACCAAGTTTCCAAAGTAGACAAAAAAGATCCAGATCTTGAATGGTTTTGCTCAAGTGTATTCAGCGCTCGTCTGGATGCTGTGAGAGTTTGGCTGTGTTGGGTAAATATTTCTCTGTGGCTCAAACGGGCTGGTGGTGCAGGCGCCAGGCTCTTCTCTCGTTTGTGTTGGCCCGGCGCCCTCAGCCCACATCCAGTTCTGTACGATAATGTGAAAATCCCCCTCCGTCCGCAGGCACTTGCTCCGGCGCTCTGGTACACGCACACAAAGACGCTTATCCTCTTCCACTGTTCTTCTATGCTGTGAGAGTAATCCTGAGCCGTTCATAATATCTGTCTCCCTCAATCCTTATCTGAGCACAGTGATTGATAGTGTGTGGAAAAAGACCTCACAGAACCAGAGAGAAATGATCACTTCTCTCTACCACCTCCAGATTATTGCATACATATAATAACTGCTGGGAAATACTGAAATCGAGACATCCAGTCCCATTATTTTAAGCACTGACATTCCATGCATATTGTAGCTTCATCGTAATTTCACAAACTGACAGTTGAGCAGGCCCTTAACCCTTCTAAGAATTTACCATGATAACTTTCCACCAGAATCATCAAACACTCTTAAAAATAAAGGTTCTTTGTTAGCTTCTATGGTTCCATGAAGAGCCTTTAACATTATTAAATAATTGTAACAATAAAATAAAATAAAAATAATTATAATTAATACTTTTATGATTATAAAAAAAATGTATCGGACAGCACTCGATCCCAATATACACATGCACACAGAAATACAGTATTTCGAAATATCTTTTTTGGCGGGTATACATGCAAACATAATCTGTTATGTCTTAAGTGAACATTTGGTTAACTGTTAGGGAAAAACATCTGATGTGTAACATTATATTAGATCTGTGGAATACAGTAGGTCTTAATATAGGCCGTCTGTAACACAATGTTTTGGGTGGTTGCTAGGGTGTTCTGAGTAGTTACTAGGGCTCCAGGTGGCTGTTAGGGTGCTCTAGGTGGTTTCTAAATGTTCTGGGTGGTTGCTAGAATGTTCTAAATGGCTGCTAGGATGTTCTGGGTGGTTGTTTGGATGTTCAAAGTGGTTGCTAGAATGTTCTGGGTGGTTACTAAGTGGTTGCAAACTGGTCCAATTTAAGAGCCCACCCCAAGTTTCTAAAACATACTGGAACACCCTAGATATGACTCAGCCCCCTTGTTTTATCTTCTTTCAGATTAAAATCATGATCAAGCCACATGACTTTAGTCATAAT